TCGCACGCAGGAAGGATGCCCGCTCCGCTCCTCGGCTACTCTTCAAGGCTCCGGGAAAGATGAGGACGAATTAGGGGGTATAGGTGTTTAGGGCTTATAGGGTATAGGGTATAGGTTATAGGGTTATAGGGTTTAGGTTATAGGGTTATAGGGTTTAGGGTTTAGGGTTCAGGGGTTTAGGGGTTTAGGTGTTTATTTAGGGTTTAGGGTTTAGGGGTTTGGGTGTTTAGGGTTTAGGGTCTAGGGTATCTCCGAAGTACAGTACGTCCAGGTCAGGCTACATGTAATCCTCAGCCCTTGGTCCTTCCACTGGGGTTGGAAGGCCGGAGATGCGAGCTTTTGACGCCTTGTCCCGTAGCCAAGGTGAAGATCAAGAAGAACGGGGCCCAGACTAAGTTCAAGATCAGGCACGCCAGCAGTCGCAGGGCCTTCGTAGCATATCAGGGACTGCAGGATGTAGTTGGATCAGGTGTCATCAGGATTACGATGTTGGCCCTAGGCTGAGCTGTTGAGGCATCCGTCGTTTGACTATTGCATAACTGATGACATCGATCAGCGAAGTAGGCTGAAGAAAGGCTCCTCAAATGCCAAGATTGTGCCTGTATTGTGGGGAGTTTCGACGACCAGTACCAACCAGCTTTCCTGTGCAACTGCGGGGAACTCTTCTTTGAAAAATGCCCTGCGAGGTGATCATCGAGCCTTTCATGCACATGATCGTCAGAAAGCTCCTCCAAGCCTATTTGACTTCGCTAATCTAAAAATCCCAAGCCAGGAAACCCGATTAAACAACACAAAACCCCTAAAACCCAAAAGCCCTGGCCCATTTCTGCATCTTCGAGGGGCTCTGTGGGGGATCCCGGGCCCAGTCTTAAGCAAATCAAAAGCCTGAGCGCAGAAGGGGCTATCAGAGGTAGTTTTACGGCTTAGAGGCTTAGAGGGCTGTTTAGGAGGGTGAAGTTCTGGATACCCTTAACCCATGAACCCCTGAACCGCTGAACCCTCAACCCTGAACCCCCAACCCCTGAACCCCTGAACCCTAAACCCCTGGGGAATGGAGCGCTTCGGGATCGAGAGTTGAGGGTTTGGCGAGGTGCAGCCGATATCTCTACACCCTGATCATGACAGACAAGACGAAGGCTCCTTCGGTTCTTTCCACTCTCCAGAACCTAGGGTTCTTTTGAGGCTTTGGACATTTCTGGGTCTGGGTTTCGAAGGCCCAGAGTTGAGATCCGAGTGCATCCAAGCTCTCGACATCCCATGTAGAGGGATACATACATACATACATACATACATACATACATACATATATCTATATAGGTATATGTATGTATGTATGTAGACATACGTGTCTATGTATGTGTATATACACGTAAATACGGATTACTATAGTTGTCGATTATTTTGTTTGTTTGTTTAGTTTGAAGGTTGGCTGCCATCTCAACATATGGGGTTCCTTGAATTGGCGATGCCGTGTTTAGGGTCCTTGTGAGAATGCCCCTGCTGTTGGTTATAAGTACTATATTAAGAACCATGCCTGCCAGACGTAGTTCTGAAAGAATCTTGGCGACGTGTCCCTGGATTTCAAGGCCAAGCTCTTACACCTCAACACCTTACGAGTATGTGTGCCCACTTTCAAGATAAGATCAGATACAATTTTTCAGCAACTGCGAGACCCGAGCACTTAAATAGACAGTAGCATTCGTGTTGCATGGGTTCCTACATAGGGTACCCGTGTTATTGAGATTGTCAAAGCTCCAGCGTGGGCACGGAGGCAGAGAAGCTGAAGCAGTCTCTCCCGTTCTCCGGCAGGAGTTTGGATTTTGGTGCTCTTCGGATCCAGGCTTCGGGATTTTAGGGTTCAGGGTTTAGGGTTTGGGGTTTACTTAGGGTTCAGGGTTTAGGGTTTAGGGTTGGGGGGGGGTGTTTCGGTGTGCAGGGGTTAGGGGTTCTTCGGACCTGGATTGGGCAAGGAGCCGAGATCGCAGGCGTGATGGGTCATAGGAAGGCGCTTCTGCGTTGCCTGTAGACGAATCATTCCAAAAAGACAGGAGCTCTTCCCCAGAGAGCCCAGTACCCCTTAATTAAGTAGTATACCTTAAATCATAATCTTAAGGCCCCTATAATTCAGAGTATATTCCTTATTTAGGGGGTATTGGGCTTTCTGGGTCTCTTGGATGACCACTTGTACGGTCAGGGCTTAGGTGCCCAAACTAAGAGCCACTCTGGAGAGGACGGGTAGTTCTTGCTGTCACAAAGATCCCGATTTCTGAGCACGTGTCAGGGAGCCACCTTCCCCCCCTCATGAAGGAATATTTCTGGAATCGTAGCAAGTAGAAAGCCGTATACACCCTAAACCCTAAAGCCCTACATAGTTTACGAGAAATTCTTCCTCGATCGAAAATATTCCTCCACACAGTTTATGGAGCATCTCTACAGCTGTCCTTAAACAGAATGCGTGCTTTGTATATGCCGAAGCAATATACCCATAGGCCCTAAAGTAGTTCCTTTTGGGGGTTCATACATAGAATCCTATAAGGTAACCCCAAAAAGGAACTACTAAGGGGCCTATGGGTAGTCAAGGGCATGAACTGAGGCCCTCGCTGCAGAAGAAGGAGATCTGAGACGCCTGCGCCGCGAGGAACTGCTACCCCAGACCGCTCGTGAAAAATCCGGAGCCCTGCCTGCGGATTCTGGGGTTCATCGGGTATTTTTAAATTCATCAGAATCCACGAAATTTCATAGAGGCCTGGGAAGTACCCGGCAGCGAAAAGCTCAGCCGATTTGACGAGAGAGACACACTTGCAGTAGCCTTCCACATGTTTCCTTTGCTACTAGGTGTATTACCACCCTAAACCTCAAATCCCAACTCTGAAACCCCGATTTAAAACAAAAAATAGTCGAAAACCTGTTAAGTTGTGTGCGAAAGCCCTAAGGCCCCACGCCTCTGAAGCCCAATCTAATGCCACTGAGGGCTTTCACTCCTCCAATCCCCGAAAGGCAAAGTCCTAGGAAGGTTGGTTGGGGAGGGTTCCTATAGTCTAAGGTTGAACCCATGGGCCCCTAACATGGGCCCTTAGGGGATTCTAGGGTCCCTTAAGGGTATATATAGGGTATATAGTAGGTAAATTAGGGTTCCAGGGTTAAGGGCCCATACTAGGGGCCCATGGCCCATGGGTTCAACCTTAGATACAAGGGCTCCTCCAACTGGGGTGCCCTGGCTGGGGCTTTAGAGTTTAAGGGTTTGGGTGTACTTGGAGGATCATGGGACTTAGTAACTAAGGTTATAAATAAAGTAACTATAACCATGACCCCAATTAGGGTACTTATAACCTTACTTACTAAGTCCCATGATCCTCCAAGTAGGGGTTCAGGATGTATGCTCACAACGCATAAACACAAAAGAAAGCTTGCACATGGATCCGGCTGTCCTTCTGGCGCCTAGGAGGAGAGACTCCCACCCTTCCCTCAGCCCCTAAACCCTATAACCCTAGAACCCTATAAGCTTATAACCCGAGACCCTAAACCCTATAAGCCTTACTTAACCGAATTGAAGACATTGGTCTTCCCAGATTCGACCGGAAGTTCTTCGGCGGCAGGGGTCAGACATCCCTCTTTCCTCGGGGAAGGGGATAAGGCTGCTGTGAGTTGGGGTCGGGGATTCAAATTTAGGGTTTAAGGTTTAGGTGGCGCGCCTTGTCTTGAAGACCATGTTCCATCAACGCAGTTGTGGGCTCAAGTTCTGAATAGCGCATCAGCACGTGCAGAGTCTTTGCTGTTGCCGCTCGGCGTATCTTTTCTACCCGTTCTTCATACCTTGGGGTTCGCATATGTAGGTCTTTAAAACGGATACATACCTGACCTGTTTCAGCTGTTTAAAGCAAAGCTGGCATAGCTACACTGCTTATTTTAGGTATTGCTATGAAATGCCCACTGCAGCTTAGCATCTGGATGGATAGCCCCTGCAGAGCCTAGAAGCCGGAATCTACAACTCTAATCGTCAAATGCACTTTCAGGTTTCTAGGGTTTCGGGTTTAGGCTTCAAAAACTGAAGCTCCAGGCACTATAGTCGTTTGATTCAGCTGGGCTCGGTTCTCTGGGTTGGGGAGAGAGCCTCGACCCCTCAAGCTAGCTCGCGTCAGCTCGACACAGGCTTTAGGCTTGAGGGTGAGATGTGTCTTATAAGATTCGTGAGATATTATCTCCAGGGCAGCAACAGATGTGACAGCTACCGCCGTAATAGAGGGGCCTAAATAATTACCAACACTATGTTGGGGGTTCTTTATCGTAAGTATAGTATACTGGGCCCCAAAACCCTATTCTAACTATTCAGGCACTCGAAGCCCTCATAGTAGCCCTTATAATGGAACCCTTTAAGGAACCCTTTAAAGGAACCCCCAAAGGCCCTATTCGAATTACCTACAGTAGCTGCTCTTCCGTGAAGCCTTGTTACATCGTCTCGACGGACTTCGGGCAACGCAGCCCTGATCTGAATTGGGTCTAATTTAGGGGCCTTAATGATTAAAACAGGGTTTGGAGTATAGTATACTATAATTATAAAAAGGAACCCCAAAA